AGTTACTTTTCTATTCAAATACAAAATTCTTAAATATTTAAATTAACCATGCTTAATATTGAGTTAGCATTTGGCATCTTTAGTTTTTCCACTCTCCTCTCTCTTTACTCCCTAGATTTCTTTCTTATTTGCTTCCAACGCAAATCACAAGGAGCCTGGGTGCATGCATGTAAATGCATGTGAATCGGGAAAGAAAAAATAACACAAATGCATAGGCACAATGCAATCAACCTAAATACGGGTAAATAAAAATGCATCCAAGCACATAACGGAACGCTGACATCCTATGATTACCTGGCTGCTTGCAGCTGTAAAAATCTTTTCCTCAAACCTCACAGCAATTTTCCTGAGTTCATTTAAACCCTCTTGACCAGAAAATGGAAGGTGTCTCTTCAATGTATCCATTCTATGTGCACCAAGCTTCGTGTAAGTTATTGAAAAATAAATATGATATATGCAGAATCTTTAATTGGTAAATAAAAGAATGCTAAGGATGAATGAAGTTAGTAAAAGAATATAAAACCAAATACAAAATTAACAAACCTATAATATGAACAACAAAAGATTTCCACATCTAATTTATTAGGGACAGCCTTCATTTCCTAAAGCCATAGAACTTCAACTTAACAAAACATTTTCCAATATAAACTAAGCGGCCATCGTGGCCATCATATATCAGCAACATTCAAGCAGACAACATACCATAATTGTCATTGTTCAAAGAATATTGTTGAAAGGCAAGATCATTAGAGTTAAAGCAATAAGTTAATTAATAAATGAGCACAATTCAGTCAGTGGGAGTAGATAAGAACCGCAGTCCATATAAAATAGCACTTCAATGACCTAATCGGCCCGAATTTTACAAGGATACAAAGATTTAAAGAAAAAAGAGTCTTCATTCAATTACATAATTCAGTTATATATTGATGAAAAGCATAAAGATGCCGTTAAACCTGGTCCAATAGCTTAGCCACGTCAAGTTAAAGATACGTGGCCACATAGTGTGAACTCAAACTATAGGTAAGAGAAAGCTTTGATTCTGAAGTCATGTATTTACTAAACACAGAAAGCCCTTTTGAGTAGAAAACATGGTTTTATTGATGCTAATGTTTCTCACAGCACACAAGCCAGAGGATCCTGGTAACTTAACAAGTACATTTAATGGTTTATAATATTGTAAAATTCACTTACATCTTGTTGACAATTCTTTGTCGGGAGTCGGACTGCAATGTGGTTCTCCAATCATCACCTTCCATGGTGTTTTCACCACCGGGAGGGGTAGGCCTCCAGTTAGAATCCATGAAATTCTGAAAAGAGCAAAAGAGAACATCAGTCACAAATATTTCCAATCCAAATTTTCCTTGCCACAATCAATTTGAAATAAATTACTCTTCAAATAAGAAAAATATTGGACAAAGTTCTTTTCAGTAATACTTCTCTCCCCATCTTAAGTTTCTACTACCGGTATGAAGCTCGGGAAAACAAAGATTTTAGTTAAAAAATCTCTTTTTCCCCACTGAAACCAAAAAGAACAAATCCATACATAAAAGAAGGGTGTATCTTGCAATGGGATGGTGTACATCATTTGCGGCATCAATTTGGTTCTAACAAAATGACTAGGCAAGTTATCAGGCACTGGTAGACACAGTACAACAATGATTGAAGTTGAACATGTTCGTTCGCACCATAAACCAAATCTTTACACCCGAACAGCAATTTGGTTGATTAATACTAGTAGAAGGTAACCTTCCTTGGCAAGGGAAGGACGTTTAAGATTCCATTACCTTTCTCTCAGCTTTCACAACTAGGCCAGAGCATATCACTGGCAATCAATTCTAAAATTCAAGTAATTGCTATTCAGTAAAGAATACACTATCTAGGCTTATCGATATCAAAATTTTCAGCTCTCTAATCAAAAGCAAGTGGAACTGGAACTCTTATAGCTGAATATTTTTGACACTTTCCGACCCTTAAGTATAATTTATCGTATATGATCTCTAATTGGAACAAAAATAAATCAAAAGAAAAAAGTCAAGCATGAACCAAAAGGCCACGATAGAATTATGTTTTAAATAGAAATAATTTGCTTTTATGCTTGCTTGCTTTCATTATTAGCTATCAAATATATTTCAATTTTTTCCCAGAGCAATAAAAATAAAAGAAAATATACAATGTTAATTACTGGTGATTTTTAAGAATAAAATAAAATCTTCCATTACTGAAAATGAAAACAAGATCACGGGTGAATTCAAGCAATAAAACCCTAAAAATCGATAAAATGATTTTGAAATCTTAACCTTGATGAAGAGTCCCCAATTCCAAGAAATAGATCGGCTTCAAAAATTCCTGAAGAATGTTTTTCCCAATCCGTTTGATAACTCTTAAAAGAGATTCTTCGCAAATACGGAAATTACTTAATGATGTATATGTGTTGGGTTGAAAACAACGTAAAAGAAAAAGGGGGAAAAGAAGATTAAAAGAGAAGGGATCGGGTGTTGACAGATCGACTTTCTTATCCTGGACCTTTGTATTGTCTACGACTATGTCAGTCGACCCTTTTGGGGGGTTAACTACACAAATATTCATTAAAGTTTAAAAAATTAATAAAATAATTATTAAAATTATTAAAATAATAATAAAATAATCCGTTCGATAATTTGATGTGATAGTTAAAATGACTTGATACTCTTTGAATATATTAATTTCATTTTGATCAATCTTTTAACTCACTTGCAATAAATAAATATATAATTTTAAATCAGGTTAACCGTAATCCCTTAAGAATATAACTCCGCTTCCATCGTCGAGCATCGTCCGATAATCTTAGCAAAACCTATAATCCAAGCCCCCTCGTGGTCCCTTAGGACTCCTCCACAAGCTGACAGATCAGACTGGGAGCGATAACCATCACCTGTATTATCACTTTTAGTCAATATAATTTTATGTTGTCCTATCATAAAATTAATATTATTAATAAAAATAAGAGTAAATTCTTGTAAACTATTTTTAAAATAAGGGTAAACTATACTAAATAAGGGTAAACTATACTGTTTCTCACTGAACTATACTCTTTCTACTAGTTTCCTCACCAAACTTTCAATTTTTCTGTTTTGCTCACTGAATTTTACAAATTGAATCATTTTGTTCACTTTGCATTTATCTATTTAATGATGTTATGACGTGGAACAAGCATAAAAATTACGTTGTTTTTAAAAACTCAAATATACATCAAAACGACGTCGTTTTGAATCCTATATTGAAAGTTCGGCGAGAAAAATAGGAAATGGAGTAATGTTCGGTGAGATAATGTGTAATTTACACTTTTTCCTTTTGCTCTCCATTTTCTCTCCGCCGACCACTGTGTCATTTTCATTCTGGCCATCGTCCATCGTCATTGACGGTGGGTCCCAAATTTCATGGGTCGGTTCATCTCGACCCTTGAATCCGAATTTAGTGATTGTTTTCACTGGAAAAATGTCCCAAAACTCGTGAATCTCGATTGAAACGTTTAGGCTTCCTCAATTTCAATCTCAAATTTGTGCACTTCGGAGCAATTTCTAATAAAATGGAGGTCAGATTCGGGCTCACGTTGTCGAGGCGAAACGACCCATGAAATTTGGTATCAAACGACCAACATATACGATGATCGACGGTGGCCTCCAACCAACTTTTATTTTTATTTAATATTTTTAATTATTTTATATTAAAAATAATAAAAATACCACATTATCCAGTCGTTAGAGAGAAAACGAGGGAGTGAGAAAAATTATTCAATCTGTAAGCTCAGTAAGTAAAATAGAAAAATTGAAAGTTGGGTGAGAAAAATAAGTGAGAGAGTATAATTAAGTGAGAAACGGTGTAATTTGCCCTAAAAATGATTTAAATATTAACTATATATTTAAAATTTTCATTAATAATTTATAAATACACCAATATTGGGTAAAATAGTCGCTTTCTAAAATTCTTCGAAAAAAGTGGTCGAGGTCCCTCCATAAAATAATATCCTTATTTGGATAAGGATTAAGGATATTTAATATAAATTTTAAGGTGGTAATAGATATTTTAGATTAAAATATATAATTTACATTGGTCCAATTAACAATAATTAATATTAACGAGAAAGAGTCCGACATTGATTAAATTCGATCCCCACCTATTTTAAATATAATTAAATTAACTTATCCATCAAACTTTCATGCTTTTTTTAGTTAGTTCTCCTTCATTTCATTTATCGAATAACTTTCGTTTTTCTTCCAAATTACTACTTTCGAATTTCAATCATATTGTCCAATTAGTTGAATTTCAAGCATGATGAATTGATCATGAAGTTTAGTAACTAATTAAAAGGATTCACTATTTATCTCGGTTGTTAAATGAATCAATTTATTTCAGTAGTTAAAAGGAATCGATATTGTTTTCAGAGATCACAGGTTTCGAGCACCAACGACTGCAATAAGGTAATTGAGTGTTCTATGTCAAATGACTGAGAATATTTAAAACAAATACTACTTTGTAATCTTCTTAACTTAATAAAAAATGTTCGGTATAGCTGAATAATTTTTATATGAAGATATGAAAAATAAATTTATACGAAACAAACATATCGTAAAAAAATACCAAATAATGCAATAAAATATTAAGAAAACAATGTAATAAATAAAAATGCACAAGTATGTGTAGTGCATGTATATATTCCATGCATATCTTGTATCTATCTTGAACATTTCGAAACCTTCATTTTTTTTTAACTATAATTATGTTTAGAAAATAATGTAATTAATGAAACCTTATAGTGTACCACATTCAGAATTTCTATTCCAAGATTTGCCAAACAGAATTTTGGATTTTCCCATAAATATAACAAACTGACAATCAAGACAAATTTTGTTCGTTAGATTGCATTACTATTTGATTTTCTACTTTAAATCACCCATTAGATTTAATAAGAAAAAAACAGATCGAAGAAAGACAAGGAACCCATAAACGAAGAACGAAAGAAATTTAAACAAAATCCGAAATTCATCGCTACTCCCCTTGATAATCCATGTCCGTTTTAAAGTTTCTAAAATCTCTTATACACATAAAAGAAGGAAAAATTCAGAATTTAAGAGCTAAATGATGTCAAGAAACAGCCACTCCATTAGCAGAGCTGTGGAGTGAACTAAACCTGGAGGGTTTGGGATGGAAATTCCGCCTCCTTTGAAGACCGTGGCTCGAAGGGCTAATGATCTGCATCAGGAAGGCTTTGATCAGGCTTGATTTTGACGACGACGATGATACAGTTGACATCATCATCATCATCATGGCGGACTTCGACTGATCCTCTTTCTGTCTATTAACATAGGGCGCCGACGCCACCGATTTGCTTGAAACTTTGCCCGAACTCCTATGGAGGCTGCACCTGAAAGACCCGGGATGGTTGGTCGGAGAGCAAAGGCACACCCGCTTTGAACAATGCGACGGCAAGCTCTTGGTTGCCATTGGAATCGAAGGGATCAGTTATCAATTCTTTCTTTTCTTTTTCCTATTGGTTTTACGCTAAAAGAAAATATTAAGCTTGGCTTTCAAATTTCAAGAATCGGGAAAGGGTTTTATGTTTCTTATGTACAAGGTTTTCACCAATGTAGTAGGGATGATGTTGATTTACCAGGTGTACCTTTGTATAATTGTATATGACAAAATGGCCTTTTCGTCATTTCGTGCTGCCAACTGGTTAATCACGATGTTGAGTAATTTATGCATGGTAAATTAAAGTTTAATTCTGTCTAGCTTGAGCATATATTACATCGTTGATGATGACTGCTGTAGTAAATTACTAATTACTAAGGGATTGTTTGTTTACTGATGAATCGTTCAACATTCAGCGTGTTTAATTCTTACCTCTAAATGAAGACTATGCTGAATGAAACAGCAAAACACTGCTGAATGATTCAGCATTAAAGTACATTCTGAATCATTAAGCACATGTTATTTTACCATAATACATATTTTTTCACATGTTGTCTTATTAAACAATCATATTTTATAATATAATAAATCATTATGAAGGTAAAAAAGAAAATATTCATAATTCAAATTGTACATTCAGAACCATTATCAAACAACAAGTCACATTCAGAGTCAATTCATATAGAGCCTTTGAATCATTCAGCGCTTAATCATTTTATTTTATCAAACAGTCCCTAAGTCATTAATAGGAGGCTTTAAGGTAAAAATAAATGTTCAAATTGTGGCTTAAAAAACATTTTAGTGTCTAAAGAATTTTTCGTTAAAAATAGGTGTATAATATTTTTCAATTATACTTTTAAGTGTCCGAATGTTAACCTCTGTTAAATATCCCAGTTAAGTGACACGTTTCACGTTCCGATAACTTTGAGAATTTTTGTTAAAAATTAAAAAAATTGTTAAAAAACCCACACACACGATGTGTTATCATATAGACGAATATTTTTAAAATAAAAATATATTTTAAATTTTGTTATTTTATTTTATCCAATATGTTTTACTGGAGGTTTGGGCTTAACAATGTATAAAATAGTAAGTATTGTTGTTATATTTAAAAAGAAACCCAAGCTAACATATAAATATTTTTTAATAATTTAAAATAATTAAAATAATATTTATTCACAATTGCTTAATTATTGATAATGCACACATACCCATAAATGTGTTTATTTAAACTCAATACCTTTAGAGAGATTTTTTTTAATCACTAAGATCACTCAATGAGTTCTTAAATTTTTTTTATTAATAATATAATCAACTTAAAAAATCACTAAAAAAATAAGGCATTTTGTTATCGGTACAAAACTAAGTAAATTACATTGTAGTGAATAAAATAACAAGATACTTTAATATGAAATCTGTAGCATAAATGTATGTTTGCATGGGTTTGTATCTAATGAATTAATTATTTTTTTATTTTACATAAAATTTTAAAAAATCAAAAAAATTTAAAAGTAATAAAAATAAATAACTTAAAATCATATAATTTATAAAAATATAAGAAAAATAACAACACAATAAAATATATAATATTAGCTTACCAGGTCTATAAACTCTTAAAATAGATTTTGTGAACAGTATAATATAATATATGTTCAAAGATAAATTTCAATCATTTGAATCATGTTCACTGTCATTTTCGGTCACCGATTTGAGTCCAGACATGGAGAGGAGTAGCTTGAGGGGAAGTCAACTAACAACCTTATTCGTCCAAAACTTACCACCTAAATTTCATTGGAGTGGCTTGAGGCAGCTGTTCGGAAGACATGGAGATGTGATTGACTCCTACATAGCTAGAAAGAAGGATATGGCCGGGAAACGTTTCGGCTTTGTTAGGTTCTCTAACAAAGAGGACGCAAATAGGGCATTGCAGAGACTGAATGAATTTAACACTTATGGCTTTCGCATAGTAGTTAAGGAGGCTAAATATACAGATAGGTTTCAATCGTGGAAGGCGAATACAACTTTTTATTCTCAGGCGACGACGAGGAATGATGGGCATAAAGGTTTTCAAGCCATGAATCACAGTGAAGGAAGGTCAAAGAATAAGGAAGCGGTAGCAGGAAACAACAAAGGAATGGTGTTTGGTAGTGATGGCTTCAAAGAAAAAGTTATGAGGAGACTGAAAACTGTGCAAGGTCACGTTGATGAAGAATCACTACGAAAGTTGGAAAAACGTTTGATAGGTACGATGGCGACAGTGTGCAATTCAAACCAAGTAGAGGATAGGCTACGAGCAGGAGGGCTTGGCGAGTTAAAAACAAAGTATCTGGGAGGGCGTGACTTTCTAATTGAAATCGAAGACCCGGGGTTATATAGTTTCATGAAAGAACAAAAATGGTCATATCTCAAGGAGGTCTTTCTGGAAGTTCAACCTTGGTCAGAGGTGTATCGTTCGTCGGAGAGAGTCATTTGGATTCAACTGACAGGACTCCCACTTTATTGCTGGAATCACCAGACTTTCAAAAAAGTAGCAGAAACGTGGGGGAGTTCTTAGCACTAGGAAGAATGCTCTTCAATCTAGAGATGGAGAAAAAGTTACGATCCTGTTAGCAAAGAAATCATTTAGAAAAAATAGAAGAAATTATCGAATTGGAGGTAGGAAGAGACCTCTTTCTGGTTCAAGTTAAAGAATTGAACACAAGTATCAGTGTCCCCAAGTTTCTAAATCAAAAGGAGAATAAGTCTACAAAAGGCGAGGATTTGTTGCTTCACATGAACAGTGTCGGAATCCAACTGGAGCAAAGGATCGACGTCCAAAGTATTGAATTGACGAGGAGAGACAAATTGGAGAGAGAGCAATCACAGGGCTCAATAGTAATGATGAGATGCCCATGTGTGTTTCCAAGCGAAACGTGAATTGTGAAAAACCTGATGTTGATCAGAACACGGGTCAAATATTGAATTTAGATAATGTTGGCGTAGATTCTGATCCGTTGAGTAAGCCTACATTGATTAGTGGACATTCAAAGCCCAGACCTACTTGTAGGGCTCTAGAAGATATATAACATTTGGCCTTCAAGAATAAAGAATGTAATCAAAGGCCAGTTTGGGAGGAAGGCTCTGACGGTGAAACTATGTTGGGCCAGAATGGAGCCTAAAAGGAAAGAAACTTGGGAGGATATGGTTGACAACGTTAACAAATGACCAAATGAAGATAATCCTCATTCTGCTTTAAATGACGTGGATCTTCAAAGTAGATTTCTTCCACCAAGAATACAAGGAAAAAGCAAAAAGTACGAGTCACTTGAGGAAATACAAGACAAATCGTTGACAAACCTATTGAAGAATAGAAAGACTCAGCTAAACAAGAAGAAGAAAAAAGTTAATCGAGAGGCAGAAACTTCGGAGTTGGAATGGAGGTCCCTCTCAGACTCAGACCTTAAAGCAAGGCGGACGATTCAGATGAGGGAAGCCAAGAAAATTGTGAAATTAGGTCAAGAGTTGCGGATAATTTTCAGAGGTTCTAAATAAACTATATTGAGTGAGTTAGCATTATTAGAAGCATCCGATGACAAATCGTTGGCTTTCTAGATCAGTAAAGAGGTGAAGAGGCTTGGAATGATAATTTTATCCTGGAATATCCGAGGTATGGGTCCGACGTTTAATTTTCAGCTTTACACAAGATTATTAGAGTCAATAAAGTAGTAGCAGTCTTTATTTGAAAAACCAAAAAAGAGTTTGAAGAATATGAAATTAGTAATTTGCGATTTGATGATAATTTTGAGTTTAGATTTTCTGAAGCGAATGGAAGAGCAGGGGATTTCTGTTTTAAGGAAAATGCGTAGTGAGCAAGTGTTGGAATGAGATAGAGGTGTTAAAATGAATATATGGCAGCAAGTGGTTTTTGGCTGGAGATTTTATTTTAATATGCAGCCGAATCAAAAGAAAGTGGAAATTTACATGGTATGTTCCGGGTAATAGGATGAGTCGACCGAATAGGCTGTTTGTGGAGGAAGAGTGGATCCAGGAAAACGTTGATGTTACTTTATGGGGATTACCAAGATCGGTTTGGATCTATTTTTGATAGAAGGTGGTATGGGGTCATAGCCAGTTTCAGGTTTATAAATATTCGGTTAATCCAAGTGGGATGTTTAGAGATAATTAAGGAGGCGCTCGTGGATATTTGTTCGATTGGACATGTTTTGGCTGCTAAGTTGCGAAGAATCAAAGGAGCATTGTAAATGTGGACCAAAGAGGCCGATAGGATTGTAGATAATGAAGTGCATGTGGAGTCAAGGTTAAATGAGCTTGAAGTGCAAGGAGTTAATGTTACTTGGAATGACTTGGAGCGTGAGGATCTAGCAAAAGAAATGAAAAAGCTTTGGGATTTGTTGAATAATGGAGAAGGATGTAGGACGCCAAATATCCAGAATGAACTGGTTGTAAAATGGGGATGAAAACTCGGCTTTCTTCGCAGAGCAGTCAAACTTCAGAGAAAAAAATGAGGAATGTTGTTGTGTTAATACTATATGATGCTTTGTTAATTTTGTCCGAGTGGGCTAGTCAGTAGCAAGGTTGGAGAGTTCTACAGAGTTGATCCGTCACTCAGGATGTTGTTTTTTTTTGTTCAATAACATTGCGATGTTTGCTTTTATTTAGACTAGATCGGGTGATTTCTTGTTTTGTGATTTTTTGATGCTGCTAGATTATTGCTTTGTCATTAGATGGTTTCTCCTCACACAGAGATGTTGTTAGTTCACTATTTTTGGTGACTTCTTAGTCTCGATCTATGTTCGGATATGCTGTGAAATTAACTATTGGGATTGTTGTGGAGGGGTCAATGCCCGCTTTGATGTTTTTATTTTGTTAGCGTCAGTGACTTGTTCCTTGTACCTCGCTAAGAGTACTCTTTTCCTCCATCTAAGTTTAGGGAGGTTTTTAACGAGACTCTTAATGTAGGTTTGTTCAATTAATAAAATTCATCTTGCCGAGCAAAAAAAAACTCTCAATCATTTGACATTAAATGTTCATATCTTTAGTATTCTTTATGCTCGAACTCAAGACTTCAAAAAATAACAACAATTATCACTAAGATCACTTATTCATTCATGCAAATTCAAATAAAATTTGTAAATATAAATATCAGCACAAATCCTGTGAAAATAATAATCGAAGTCTAAACCAAAATATCTTAACTAGTACTTGCGAACAAGGACTATTAAGCCACGGATCGTGAAAGTCAAGGACGTTAACGAAGCATCCAGGAAGAGGGCAAGCGAAAGCAACGTACACTCTCCAATACCAAGGCTACAATTGATGAGCCCAGCCAGAGGGCGGTCGTAGAGACCAACAATTGAGCCCTAACGCCGAAGCTTAAAAACAAACCATTAGCCAGCTCGAAGTGCAAACACATGGCCAACTAAATCCACATATCCAGAACCTTCAGGGAAATCCATCTTTTTAATATACAATCTAGGAACAATATTGGAATAGATGGCAAATTATTGTTGCTAATTAATTCTTGATATTGACATCATGACGAATCTACATTTCACCATCACAGGCACGATCTTAAACTTAATGTTTCTAATTTGGACTGATCAGCAAAAGCTTAAACGCAGAGTTTAAATTCAACTACTCATTTAATACTTTTAAAAGTTCAAATAAAATATTAATTTTTAATACATGAATTAGGGAACAGGATGAGTTTTAGTACTTGGGGTGGACAGTTTAACTGCTTTCAATTGTTATGTGACAGATTAAATGATCAGCATTCATGTGCTGTGCTCTGACCGATAAGGTATATGTTATCATATAAGATCTGGATAACTATAATTACAGCCAGTTTGCTTTAAAATTCTGTTCAAATATCAAAACATCTGAATTCATAATACTTTATTATATACGTTAAACTGGCAAACTAGTTTTATGAGTTGGAATTACTGAACCAAACCCTCTACAAACATAAATTGTTCCTAATTCGACCAAAAACATGGTGTTTACAATTGATTTAAATAAATAATAACATATTTCACATGGCACTTTACATATAGTGTCAGATACGTCTTATCATCAAATGATTCGGGTTTTCCGTTTTCTGATCTCTCACATGATTGCTATAAGATTAATATAATTTTAGGCATAAATTTTGTAAAGCATATTAGTAGTTTAGGGTTCTGGATATGGAGAACCCACTTTGCATATACTATGATTTTATCTATTTAAACATGTAAAATATATAGGAGCACTTTGCACTTGGATCGTCCTGAAGCGCGATAGCTGGAGAATCTACTTGAAATTGATAATTAGAAGGAACCCAGAGGATAATTTTGTTTAGAATACAAAACATGAAGAAACAACGTAAAGGAATAATGGAGAAGCCAACAGATTCGTCATCGTTACAAAGAACAATATAATGTTAATACCTTGGATGAAAAGAAAAGGAATTTGAAAGCACACAAGACCAAACTTTTCTCTTTTCTTTTTTTTCTCACTATTAACATACTCTCAACACAGTACATAAGAAGTGAAAATAAATAAATGAAGAAATCATTGTAAAGATTAAAATTTAATTTCACAACTCTCAAGAAAAAATATACCCATGGATCCAAATAATTTATTTTTGGGAGAAAAAACCAAGAAAACTTTGCATTGTTGGAGAGTGAAAGAGTTAAACTCGGTCGGTGGCATTCGTGTCGATATTGAATATGCGACTGCAACTATAGACGGAGCAAAAAGCTTGCAGTGACATCAACAACAAGAGCAAAATTGCAGCAAGAAACGTGAGAATCTGCCAAGAACCGAACACATAAGATTTCATCATGTTTTTAGCTTTGATGTTCCATCGGCCATTGTGATATTTGTTGACCTCTTCGATCGTCTTGTCAAGGAAATGCACTTTGGTTAACCTGACGGACTTGCTCATCCAGTTCCAAAGATCAGCCGCTTCTCCATCGCTCTTCATGTGATTCAAAATGATCCCTTTCTCTCTCAGCAGCTTCACATCTTCTTGGGTATCGATGATCCCATTCATCAACTCAGTGTAACGAGTGAAAACCAATGGCCCCGAAGCATTCGACGCTTCCTACGCCACTAAGTTCCTCAAGATCACCTCAGTGTTCAAATCTAAGCTGATGGTCGGAAGGTGTAAAGTGCAAGTCTTGGAATCGGAACAAATGGCCGAGATATTGCCTGTGGTGGCCGAAAAACGAACACCGGAACCTGAAAGTTCAGTAACTGAAGGAATTGCGATCTCTTCCACTAGCGGTGCCTTGTCAGCGCCGCCCGAACCCTCTTCTGATTTGCTGTCTTTACTGTCTGCTCCATTGAGGAAAAGCTCCACGGGTTGTTTCAAGATTGAAAAGCCTGGAAGTTTAGTGAGGATCGTCCAAGGCAATTTGAATACGAGTCTGATTGGCTTTGAGTTTAAGATTTTCTTGATGAGACGTAGTACTGGACCTTTGTTTAGCTTTGATAACATGTTCCATATGGCACATAGGAGTTTCTTAATGTAACCAGGGTCGTCCTCTGATGATCCTTGTGTGCATTTCATGGCTTCATTTGGATCTTCAAGCTCGGATATCTCGGAAGTTATAATTTGGAGCTTAGGGACGACCATATCATATAAACAATCAAGCAAGTGAGATTTTTCCAAATGATGGATCTTGGGCAATACCTTCATCATCTTGAAAGGGCAAAGCTCCTTGCATAGTTCCGTTACCATCGACAGCAACAGATCATCAGCTCGTTCAAGCTATGAGGATTGAACTTGAAGCATCTTTCTCAACACAAACAGAGGGATTTGATTCTCCAGCATCATTATATCTCTGAGAATCGCGTTATGAGCAGATTTTCGACCTGCATAATCAACCAAATGCGACATCCTTGAAGAAACCCTGGTGAGCAGCTTACCTTCTTTCATGGCATAGATTTGAAGGAACTCAAGCAAGAAGGAAGCGTCAATGGCCAACATCCAACAGAAAGTTTCATTGCCGAAGTCCAGAAACTTATGGTAACACGCTCGGATCTTCGGCGCCAGCCTCTGAAGCTGCTCGACGAGATGATCGAACTGGAGGTCGTTGACGAGATTTTTCTGTGTTCTTTTGGCAGCATCGATCTTATATCTCTCCATCTCGTGCAGCTCGGGACGCCAGTAATGGTAATAACCAATGGCCACCAGCTGTGGGGTGTATGAATCTGGATCGCATGATAAAAGGGTTTTGGAGACATTGAAAATGCTAACGGAGATCTCATTTTCGTCTTCAAGCTCCGACTCTAGTGTTCGACGGATGTTAATCACCCATCGATTATAATCAAAGCCTGGAGCATTGGACATTGTATTTAATTTGGTGTAAGCTTTTGTTTTTTCTGGTACGATGGAATTAAGGGTTTGTGTGACAGAGTTAAAGAGAATGCCCCTTTAATTTATAATGAAGAAGATGGTGCAAATTGATAAAACACCATTATCATTAGGTGTTGCACTAACTTTGGCTTTAGCTTCTTTTTTTCTCATTAATGTTAATAAAAGGAAAAACGCTTTTCTCGTGCTCTATTATTGTTTACTTTCTTCTCCTACGGCATTTATACATATTCCATATATCTCAAGCTTTTCTTTTTCACCATTAAAATTAAAAAAATAAAAAAAAATAATTTATAGCAAAAATAGTCATTAATCTCCGATTCCCAAAGTACGAAAATTTAACCCGACACATTAATTCATTAATTTATTCTCATATATTAGCCACATAGATTAATTTCAATAATTAAACAGAATTTGAGATTCAAAATTGTGAAATGTAAGTTGCTTTAAAAGTTAATGTATGCTATAGTTGAACAAATAAGTCCAGAATGCCGATATTATTCGTAAATTGATTAGACCGGTCCTAGACATCTTTGCCAAGTAAAAAAAAGAGAGGATACATCTTTTATTTGTTTAAAGATTCTTTATAATTAAGGTTGTACTTCACTCATCTTGGAAACCAACTAGCTGCCTTGTTGATTTGGAATTCTTAAGCAGTGTATGTATGGTTAAATTAATGTTTCAAAGGTACACAAAAAATAGTTCTATATATTGATTTCCATCAAGTCTGCCTTCATGGTTTAAACGTTTACTTGGAAAAGAAGAGTGGATGGAATTTCCTGGTAATATCCCATGGTAGGAAATTTCAACCACATTTTTCATGCCCCCTTTGGCGGTCCAATATTTGAGGGAAACTGAAAACAAATGAAAATCGAAAACGTATTGGGGAACCCGTGTGCAGGTGGCATATTAATATGGACTGTTTGAATGTCTGTGGCTACTTCGCACTTCACGCACGCGTCATATATGTTACATTCCTAGGACCATATTTAAACAATTCAATAAAACTATTAGTATTTAAATTATCAATTTTCGTCTGTTTTAATATTTAAATTTATAATTTTTTAAAAATATATATATAACATTTAGTTTTTAAATTTTATAGGTAAATTACATCATTCATCTCTCAACTATCTTCTCACTTCTATTTCGGTAGTAAAGTTTAAAAATTTTTCAATTTAACTACTCAACTTTCAAATTACTCGTATTTTTAATCACTCTAATTTATTTTATTAATGATTTTTGTGACATGACATTTTTTATTATTATGTTATTAATATATAATTAAAAATAAAAAATAAATTTGAAACTTAAGTAATTAAATTAAAAAATTTAAACTTTAGTTACCAAAATAGAAGTGAGAAGATAGTTGAGTGATGGATGATTCAACTTACCCTTTAGAAAAAGGTGCCACATGCAAATTACCCGTTAAGGTTTTAATGGCGAGATACTAAAACAATACAAAAATTAAACGTTAGGTATAATTTTGAAAATATTAAAAGTTTATATACTAAAATAGACAAAAACTGTTAGCTTAGGTATTAAACGTGTAGTTTACCCTAAAAGTAACTGGTCCACCTTTTCCACACGTGCATCATATTTCATCATTTGCTCGCTGGATGATGTAGTTTTGACCTTCCAACAAGACAAATGATTTGTTCACAGTAATTGATAAATTAAGTAATTAAAAGCATCTAAAACCTAGATTTGTTCAAATCTGAACTTTCCTTGCAAGTTTGGTGAGGACTATCAAGGGCAATTTGAATTTGACTTTAGTTGGCTTTGAAGATAATATTTTCTTGATGAGAGGTATTGGACCTTGTTTAGCTTTGATAATATGTTCCGTATGGCTCATAGGGAGGGACGGACCGAGGGGGCGGGTGGGGTAGTTTTTCTATATATTTTTTATTGAAAATCCTTTCAAAGTTTAAATCCCCCGTTTAAGTTCCCCAACATAGACGAGCACATGCAAAATCAAAATTCTGTTGCGTGTTCCGAATTTGTATGTCGGCACAAACGAGAGGGAAGAGACGAGGGACCAACGGGTTATGTAACTCTTAACGAACCTCCGAGTTCCATTGGTACCAGAGGATGAAAGAATGCAGGACATCAGTTATGGGTGGCCTGCAACGTGGTTCTGGTTGTATGCAAAGCATGGCAACACAGCAACCTGTTCAGCAAGGAATACAATTTGACTCTACAACGAGAACACAGACATGACGCATCAAATGAATTGTAGTTTTTTGATGTACCTCATATAGGTGCTTCAGATCCATTGTGTCTTTTATTACTGGGTCTAACATGTTTTTTTCGATCTGTCTGTAAGCTGGGGCTGGCCTGTATCAGAATTGTATATGAACAAAGTTCAAAATGCAATTTAAACCATGCCTGAAACTCCTCGAGGTTAATAGTATGGTCAAAAGAAATTACCCATGTGACAAGAGATTGGCACCGAGTTGGTCACCTTTTCTCCAGTGGTTTCTTTCCGATTAGCAGCTCCAGAAGGACAACTCCAAAAGCATATAAGCCACTTTTATCGCTCAGTTTACCTGAGAAATGCAGCGATGCCGTTACTCATTTCAAGTGACAGATTTCATTTTCTCAAGGACACACAAACACCATTCAATGTCATTCACACAACAAACATAATAAAGCAAGCCTAATTGACAGGCTAAGTTCTGCAGACATTTTCGATAACTGAGTTCTTCGGAATTTCTTGTGTATCAACAATGAAGAGTTTGGCTTACGAGGTACTCTGGAGTTCCATACCCCAACGTTCCTGACAACTTTACATTTTTGTTTTGCGATACGGTAGTCACAGCAAGGCCAACATCTGACAGCTTACCAAGAAAAAGAAGGGCAAGGTAACAACTCCAGGTTATTTCAAGCAAGATCCATGTCTGTCATGCATAATGTTTACCTTAGCATTGAAGTTGGAATCGAGAAGGATGTTAGATGACTTAATATCTCTATGGACAACTGCGGGATTGCAGTTCTCGTGAAGATATTCTAATGCTCTATAAGAGATTAGAACAGAATTGGCTATGGAATTCACCTAGCAATATCAACTGCAATTTTCATTCGTAAATTCCAGGTTAAAGCTGATCCTTGAGAAGGTCCTATAATGTCCAAACAATAAAATTAGATCAAAGGATAAACATTAGCCATCTTCCACTAACTTCCGTTATTCTTTTGTGTCTTTGGAATCAAGAAAAGGAGTCTATACATACCATGTAATTGACTCTCCAAAGAGCCATTTTGCATTATTTCATATACAAGTAACCTTGTTTCACCATGGATACAGTAACCCAACAATGCAAAATATTCTGATGCCGGATTTTGACCGGCCAGTTCACCTCATTCTGCACATTTCAATAAACCAAGCAAAGATATCAAATGCCATAAGACTATAGATATCCAAATTTATATCAGTCAGGCACAAAATATTACCTCAAATTCCCTTTCAGCTTCTACTCCTAATTGCTTTTTTCACGGCAGCAAGAAATTTCTTATCGAAGCAAGCTTTATAAGCACATCCACTACCGCCTTCACCGAGAACATTACTTTCCTGGAAACCGTTTGTCACGGCTTCAATAAGCAATACTCGTTAACAGCTACCAAACACTTTTCCCCAGCCATCCATAAGGAATTAAAAAGATCCACAATTGGACTTGTGTAGTGAAAGCAAAAGTAAACAACAAAGTTCATAACAGAAGATAAGGGCCATAAGCAAGGAATAGTTTCAATCTCGAGATGAAAACTTGGAAACCAAATCATAATGTGATTAAGTGAGACAAAAAAGAGACCTTTGTTCTGTTTGCTTTTCCCATTGGAATTCTTCAAGATTTTCTGTCTACATACCCAGCAACATAACAAAATGAGCAATAATCCACCAAGGAGAGTGGAAGCGACCATTAGTGCTATAAGAATCCTCTTGTTCAAATCCTGGTGGTGCACTACTCTAACCACAATCACTCCTGCTTTATCATTAGCATGGTTAATTAGAATTGGCATATCTGTTGGTAAATGGAAGAAAGACAACTTTTTTTTTGGTTTTTGTTTGCATAGCCAGCATAGGGGACTCTGTTAATAGTTAATACACCAAAAGATAAAAAAAGGCTTGCTAAAATAGTTGTCATTTTGAGGAACAAATGCATGCCAGTTTTATCCAAAAATCAAAGCTACTACTAGAAAACTAGGGGGGAAACATAGAAATAACTCAAACACTACACTTCGAAGAACAACAAATTGCTGGTTTCTATGCCAAAGAAGCTAAATTTGCCCACTTTAACGGAGCTAGCAATTATTCCTAACAGCCAAACTACTGAAAATTCAGAGGTTCATAAGCCTATGCATTGAGTGCATAAAATGTGTCAAATCCTTCGAAATAAGGGAACAACCTCTTAGCAATAGTATAGCAATGCAGAAATGTAGAGCACTTGAGCAAGAAACGAACCACCACCATTTAAGAGAAATAACTGGAGAAACAGCTTCCATTTGTGAAGAAAACTGAGAAATGAGTTCTTGTTTAGAAGGAAGAACAGAAGCCGGGGTGGAGGAAACGTTTGGCTCTGACCATACAAGAATTACAGGTGAAAACAAAGGGAAGGGACATGCCCACATGGGTAATAGTAGACACAGAAGATTCATAGGAAATAATAGAAGATAGGAATTTTTCTATCATTTAAATGTAGGGACTAATGAGTGAAACTTCTTTTCTTGTTCAAACAGTCGCTGTTTTTACTTTTGAAACCATCTATTTTTAACTCTTCTCCAAATAAAAAAAGAACTGCAGGACACCCAGAAAAAAAAAAAAAGAACTCTTTTGTTTAATCTACCAAAATTTAGGGTCAGTTTCAAGCATATTTTAAAAATTGGATTTTAAAAGTGTTATAGAAATAAAATTTTAGAAGTATTATATAAAAGTATAATTTAAAATTTAAGTATTTGAGATTGTTGTTAAAAAGTAAATTTAAAAAAAATAAAATGTTCATT